ATTCCCTTTCCTAAAGTCGAACTGAAGTCGGCCAAACGTAAGGGCAAGGCCCTACATGATCAGACCAGAACGGACCCGCACCACTGACCATATCAAACGAGTATGCGGGCTGTTAAACCTAGCAACGTCAGACAGCGGATGTACGAGAGGGGCTCGAAGCACGACCTCTCGCATACCTTCGGTCTGAAGACCGGTCATATAGTCGCCGCAAAGTTGATTAGGTCAAACGAGTATGCGAGCTGTTTAGACAGCAACATCGGACAACGGATGTACGAGAGGGGCTCAGAGCACGACCTCTCGCATACCTTTTCGACCAGGGGGCCGGTCTTACGGTCGCCCTGACCGAGCAGCTATTCCTAGACTTGGAAAAGAGTTTGATCATTTCCCTTTCCGAGGATCGAGCCGTGGTCGACTAAACACCGAGAGCAGGGCGTCAAATTTTTTTTTTTTTGCCACCGCCCGTTCATTTCCAAGTGAGGGTAGACCTCATTAAATTCTAGATTGAAAACAATTTTTTTTAAGTAATGAAAGAATTTGAGAACTTGAGGAGTTGTCCCGAGTTCTACACTTCGTGCTTGATCACAATCTTGCTATGCTTCGCTTATAGGATTTGACAAGGTACCCCGCGCCCGTACTTGGTAGTCTTGATATTGATGGTATGGACCTATCTGTGCATGCTTGGGCAGCATGGTTTCCAACACTATCATATCAGCTGGATTGAGCTTGTGCAACCAAGTCTCCAGACGATGAATGTGTCCCTGTCTCGGCGGATTGGGCCCGTAAAACCAAGCCTCAAGTCCATGACACTGCATCCACCTCACCAGGTGGGGCTCGCGCGGATGATACCCGGCCCGCAAATTGTCGCTTGGACTATGCTTGGCACGTAGGGGAGCACGAGCGCAGAGCATACGAACGTACACGGTGAGAACTACAACGTGCACAATCTTCACTCGACGCTTCGTGACTACGACTTGTCGGCACCAATGAGTATCTTCAGCTTGAATGCAATGCTCGGTCAGAAAGGATTGAGTCCGAGCTCAGCTATCTCAGACTTGGTGCTCTAGTGATGTGTAGAGTGTACGACGGTACGGGCGTACGGGAGTCCGGGCGTACGGGAGTCCGGGCATACGGGAGTCCGGGCGTACGGGAGTCCGGGCGTACGGGAGTCCGGGCGTACGGGAGTCCGGGCGTACGGGAGTCCGGGCGTACGGGAGTCCGGGCGTACGGGAGTCCGGGCGTACGGGAGTCCGGGCGTACGGGAGTCCGGGCGTACGGGAGTCCGGGCGTACGGGAGTCCAGGCGTACGGGTGTCCGGGCATACAGGAGTCCTGGCGTACGGGAGTCCTGGCGTACGGGAGTCCGGGCGTACGGGAGTCCGGGCGTACGGGAGTCCGGGCGTACGGGAGTCCGGGCATACGGGAGTCCTGGCGTACGAGAGTCCTGGCGTACGGGAGTCCGGGCGTACGGGAGTCCGGGCGTACGGGAGTCCGGGCGTACGGGAGTCCGGGCATACGGGAGTCCGGGCGTACGAGAGTCCGAGCGTACTGGAGTTCGGGCGTACGGGAGTCCAAGCATACGGGAGTCCGGTCATACGGGAGTCCGGGCATACGGGAGTCCGGGCGTACGGGAGTCCTGGCATACGGGAGTCCGGGCGTACGGGAGTCCGGGCATACGGGAGCCCGGGCGTACAGGAGTCTGGGCATACGGGAGTCCGGGCATATGGGCGTACGGGCGTCCCGACCCCGGGCTTGCGCTCCAGGACAAGGTTGTGCATCCGAACCTCCCGGCAGAGACGGGCCTCTCGATGGAGATCGAAGGTTCACGTCGCCGGGTTGAGCCCGTGCCACCAAGCTTCAGCGTACAGGCGTACCGACCCCGAACATGCGCTCCAGGACAAGGTTGTGCATCCGGACCTCCCGGCAGAGACGGGCCTCTCGATGGAGATCGGAGGTTCACGTCACCGGGTTGAGCCTGTGCCACCAAGCTTCCGGGATGTGGCCCCACGTCCGCCTCGCCAATTGGATCTCGCGAATTGTCAGTCTTGATATTGCTAATTTGCTTTGATTATGTCCTTTGGTTGAATTTTGACTAGGGCAAAATTAAGGCCCACTGAAAGAGAAGTCCAGCAGCGGCAGTCACCATCTCCCACCAGCATCAGAGCCCGAGAAAAGGCGGAGCTCCAGATAGCGACCGATCCCCTGAATATCACACTTCTCCTGCCTTCCCAACTCGTCGGCTAACAGAGAAGAGATTGAGGCTCAGAGGCTGAGACCGGCGACATAGCTATGGGGTGGTGGAGAGACCTGCTATCTACGATGCTGCGACGTATGTGGACGAGCGAGCTACGAGTGATGACCACACGAGGTTGATGTTGAGCGCCGATTTCCATGGACTCGGTCACGTATTTGGAGATGGATCCCAGGCTTGAAGTTGGGTGCCTCCGGTCGTTGCTGCTGCCAACAGGCAGAGGAGAGGAGCTCTGACCTTTACGAGGGGCCACGACCTTAGGATCTGGCCCGCCTAGTAGAGATGGCCGCGCTTAGACAGAGACAGAGCAGTGAAGCAACGGACAAAGCTTGACGTCGATGGCGTGGACGATGAAGGCTTGGATGGTGACCTCACGTCTAGGATCTGGAGGAATGAGCTTCGAGCGGCGTCTGAAGAGGATGATTGACCTGCAAGCGTCACTGCTGCGAAGGAAACGCACGCCTCTGGCCACAAGATCAAATTCTTCGGTTCCTCCATCAGATTTGAAATTCCAAATCGGTATCGACCGATTTTGGTTCCAGATTTCTTTTTCATCCCCAAATTTACGGCAACCCTTAGAACAAAATCCACTAAGGGGTTGAATTCCCAATTTCTTTTTCATTCAATTATTTTGTTAAGAACTTAATTCAAGTTTGCTGAATTTTGTTGGAATTGGGACGAATTTTCCATTGATTTTTTTCCCAAATCTCTCTCTGTTTCTACCGAAAAATATGAGAGATGACTCTCAATGAAAGCACCAATGTTGGTAGAAAATAACCCAGGTAGAGAATTTGACAGCATTTCAGTATAGTGAGAATAGCTTAGTCGAATACAAGGGGTTGGTGGCCTATTTATAGACATACACAATAGCCCACCAATTAAGTGTAACATGGGCTTGGCCCGATTTATCCACTAACACTCACGCTAATGGGCCGGCCAACCCGATAAGTAATTAAATAATCCCGGACCAATATCCGCTAGCCGGGCTGTGTTCTGAGCTTGGTCGGGCCAAAGCTTGGGCGTAACGGGCCAATAGTCTTGGACCCGGCCCATTATCCCAACAATTAGCATCATCATCATCGTCATCATTATCATCATGATCATATAATCAGTGCTATATGATTGTTATTTTATATCATTATTCGAATAGATTATACCATTATTCTTATGGAACCCAAATTATTATTCATATTGTTTTTTATTTTAAATTTTTGGATAGTATTTGATTGAGAATAGAGTCAAATAAGCTCTCGAATTATTATATTAGAGATTCCGCAAGACATAAATTATGCATCATTTGATTTGAAATTAAGCCGTTGAGCCGAGTGCCTAGTTGCAGTAACATTTCATGATATATTAACGCTTACCAACACGAGTAGGTAATAAGAATGTTTTCTTTTGGAATGTTTTCAGTCCCAGACTAGATCAGACAAGGCTTAAACAGATCAGACCAGATCAGATCAAACTTAAACAGACCAGATCAGACCAGACAAGACCAGACTTAAACAGACCAGACCAGACCAGACTTCCGTAGTTATAAAATACACAGAGACCAGACGTTTATCAGACCAGACCAGACCAGTTCAGACCACACCAGACCAGACCAGACTTAAACAGATTATACCAGACCAGACAAGCAAATTTCAGTCCAAAAGAAAACATCCTAAGATGTTTGACTGTTTTTTTTTCGACGAGTCATTTGATGCATTTGAAATTTCCGAGAATGAGGATTATTGCAAAATCACTAATAGTTCAAAGGATGAAGATAGATAATTAGATAAAGTTCCTCTATCTAATCTAATGTGGTGTGATATGATAGATGTCTATTTAATGTACAATTGTCAAAGTTCGAATCTTATCAAATTTGATCTTAAATCTTAGTAGGTGAAGTTTGGAAAAAGTATAAAGTTAAAGATGAAATTCCCTATATAGAAGTAAAAATGTTTTGAAATTCCGAAAATAGGAGTAAATTTCTTCCAAATTTGGTATTACTAAGCTTTAAACGTGACAACTTTTTCCCAAACATGGGAGATTATAAAAAAATATGATATTTCTATTTTCGAAATTCAAAACTTTTTTACCGATGTTTAGGGCAATTTCAAACAAGTCAATGTGATGTACACGTGTTGACACTTCCGAAAATGACGTGCCAACCCAAATCTCCACGTATCTTCTATTCTTTTGCAACTCCATGCTGACCATGCAATGGAAGTATGGGTAACGGCTGGGATAGTTCATTAGTATGGAATTTTGAACCACATCACTATATATATCAGACCATGCCATATAAATGCATGCATGATATATAAGATGATAAGATATGATAGTAAATTAAACCCACCGAAGGAAACGAAGTATGCCAAAAAATGTCTTTGACCAGTAAAGTGTTCTCCTATATTCGAAAACCTCTACTTCCCTCTCCAAGTTCTTCGTTTTTTATTCGCGGTCAAGTCTTGAAGGTTTGTTGTTACGGAGATACGGCGTTAAAGCGCCAGTTTGGATGGGGTATTTCGGAGGATCGGAGAGGATAATTGATTTTTGGGATATTTTGTATTTGCACCCTCTTTTATGTGAGGAATTGGACTATGCACCCTAAATTAAAAACCTTTAGTATTTGCACCCTTCCTCCGTTAAAAATCTGTTAAGAGGTTAACTTTGGTAGGAAATGACTATGATGCCCTGACCTAAGTAAGACCGTCGTTCGTTCTCAGACTTCTACATTCTAAATCGTCTCAACTCTCAACATCAAATTGCGTAGACTGAGTTAGGGTTGGGATGAATGAAGATTGCTATAACATATTGGTGGATTCGAGAGGACGAATGCCTGATGAAGGGATGAACACTTTACCTGCTCAGAGGACGACGTCGAAGCTACCTCTGAAGAGAAAGATGAACAGTTTACCTGCTCCATGTAAGTTCTTTGAATTAATACTTCGTTTTGTATCATACCAGGCCTTTAGAATTTTGAGTGGCATCCCCAAAACATATGGAGTAAAATAGGGTGTCAATCATCTTTTTTTGTTTGAATTGATGTAAATTAAACATATGAACATCATTAAAGATACGGAGTAGAAAAAGGTCGTAGTGAAATGCTGATTGGAATTAGTTGTGAAGCCATATTTTATTTTTTCTTTTGACCACAACAAGTGATCGAGTTGTTGTAGAAATATGTGAACTATTTGGAGGCCAGCTTCCTTCTCCATACTCTTCTTAAAAATTCTTTCAACAGTTCATATGGTTTGATAACTAAAACCCCTCCTCTTGAATACAATTACAGGGTACTATTCTATCTGTTTATTTCCTTATTCTAATACTCATTATAAAACATCCTTTTCCATCAAGAAGTTGTCATATACGTAGTATATGTTATGTATTTGCAACCCAACTATAATATCCCACATTTACTGCCAAATTACCTCTTTGATAGCTTTGCACACTCCAACATCTTTCTTAGTTCTTTCAAAATGTTTTTTATATGATACAATCCTAACACCCACTAGCACTCCCTGCTGAGACCATTTTTATCTAAGCACAGACACTTCCATGCGTGGAAGAACTACTAGCAAGAAAATAAGTCAAATAACATTGGGTCATGCAATTGTGCTAATAAAAATTACTCTAAATTCTTCTTTCCCAAAAAAAAAAAAGAAACTCTAAATTCCAAAAAGCCTAATACTAATGTTTTAATGTTCCAATAGTGGAATGCTGATTGGAATTAGTTTGGAAACCATATTATATTTATTCTTTTGACTCCAACAAGTCCAAATAATGAAAGAAATGAGAGATTTGTGTTTGTTCATGATCTGCAGTTGGTTGATTCAAGTAAGCAAATGTTGATGCTAATGAATGGATTTAAATGTTATGATGTTCAAGAATAGGTTTTTCTAGCTTTTTAGTTATTTACTTTATCCTTTTAGTGGAATGCTACTTATAGGATGGCTCTAGAATTGTTGCTTATTTAGTTTAAAAAGGTACTGCCTAACTTTGAGAATTCCAGATCATTAATAAGAGCAACTTTACACAACTCATGTTTAAGTATCACTTGTGAGAGTGTTATTAATATAATTATTTGAATGTGTGATTTTCAGTTAGGGTACCATTCCATGAAAGTAGCGGGGATGAAGGAATCAATAGTGATGAATTTGGTGATATATTCATTGAACTGCCTTCATTGAATGAATCTGTCAATGTAGCAAATGTTCATAATACCTGCCAGTTTACTGAAGGTATTTGTTAATGCAATGTACTTGGTTGAATATATAAATTCCTTATATATATATATATATATATATATATATTCTTCACTAAAATATTTATTCATATTGCTAATATAGATATGTCACTGTAATGTGTTATATAGGTATCCAATTTGAGGAAATTGCTGATGGGCTAGATGGGTACGATATGAATGAATCAGATGATATGAATGAGTCAGATGATGAATTAGGTCATTCTAGTTCTTATACAGATGAAGGGAGTGACAAGGATGAAGTACACACAGTCCAATAGTCAGAAGAAGTGCAGCAAATGTCTTTCTTTTGGGCACAACAAGAGGTCATGCCAAGGAGGGCCAATTGCTAGGGGTGCTAAAAGTGGTGGAAGGACTGGTACAAGGGCTGGTGCAAGGGCTAGTGGAAGGGCAGGTGGAAGGGCTAGTGCAACAGGGGGTGGAAGGGCAGGTGGAAGGGCTAGTGCAACAGGTGGTGGAAGAGGTGGTGGAAGGGTTGTTGGAAGAAGTGTTGGAAGCACTGCTGGGAGTGGTGCTGGAAGGACACGGGGTAGAAGAGGTGGTGGAATTGGAATGACCTACCACCAGTAAGTACGTATATATTTACGCAGAGTTGTTGACACAACTAGTGTTTACTACAACTAGTTGTTGCTACAACCATTTTTGCTCACTGCACAGATGCAATGCATGGATTATAACTGATTTTTTGGTCCCTGTAAATTCTAGACATGACATGAAGCTCACTTTTTTTGGATAAGTACTTAGAGCGAACTAAGTTTGCTAGATTTAGACAACAACAAAGTACAAACACATTGCACTTGCAGTTTTTTGCTCACTGTAATATCAAAGGTCTGTAGACCAAAACAATATTATTAATTTAAAGAGTTTTTTACTCATACCTTGGACCAGCTTCTTCCCCCTTCGTGTGTAGTCATACGTTTCTTTAGATTCAATACTCTTTTAGCCTTTAAATTACCAACTGTTATAGGGAGTAATGGCAATGAGTAGATAGATATTGTGGGTTGATCATTTATGAGTCATTTATGGTTTAATGTATATATTAGAAGACCATCACACTGAAAAAATCAGTGGGTTGAGTGTTTTAATTTATATTGTTGACTGACAGTTATTTTATATTTTTTCTTTCTTAGTTTCAATATATATTGAAATTTTTTCTTCATTGTATATTTTAGTTTTTTTCTTCAATGGGGCTGCTTTCAAGAGGATATTATTGTTGATTTAGAAATGTCTGAGATTTGTTGTAGTCTGGATTTATGTTGGGAACATTTATGCTCTGTAGTGATTTAAGGAGTATATTTTTAACTGTTGGGACTCTATGTAGCTGGGTATTATTGTGAAGGAACTCTAACAATTTCAGGAAAGTTGCAAAGTATTCTGAAAAATTAATTCTTCCTGATATGTTTGGTCAAATTGCTATTGTACCCGTGGAGCAATGGCAGTCAATGGCAGTCAGTATAGCTGCTTGTAGAATCCCTACTTGTAAGCATGTTCACTGTTAAAAAAACATATTTATATATTCATATGAAAATCAGTGGGCTGCTTCAGACCAATTTGTTATTGATATATATTCATATATCTATATATTTATTATATGACAAAAACATGTCTTAGTTTTGCCTTTTTCAAATTCATAATTAGAGAAATAAACTACAAGGCATTAATATCTTAAGTCTTCACATCCTACCAGTGGCTCTCACTGAAGAAAATGAGATCTTCTTAGAGGCAAGGAAAATAAATTGATCGTGGTTGACAAAAGCTTTTAAATTTTTTAGTGCAGATGCATCTCAAGAAAGAAACGGTTCACGAATATATGGGTCTGTTGCATTTTTATTGTGTGTAACTTTTCAGCAGCAGATGTTGACTTAATAAAAGGGTATTATTGACATTTTTGAATTTTGAGAAGTCTAACTAACAGATCTGTTTAACTTAGGGTGCAAATACTAAAGGTTTTAAATTTAGGGTGCATAGTCTAATTCATCACATAAAACAGGGTGCATACTCAAAATATCCCTTGATTTTTTACTTCATTGATGTGTTTCAATTTGGTTTTAGACTACAAAAAACTATGGAGTATATAAGTAGTTAGCCCATGATTTTTATAAACTATTTATATTTCGCTCTAATTATTTCAAATTTTCTAAATTTAAGAATTATTTTAAATTTAAATACGATCCATCTTGTTTTCTCTCCTCCGAAATCCCCAACAACACTAACCCAAATGGACATGACAGTTTAATATTTCCAGTTTTGTTTAAATTGGTGATAATTTTTTTATTTTTCATATCTAAACTAGCTATTCGGCTAGTATTTAATTCGAATATTATCATATACTATCCTCCGTTTTTTTAATCACAACATGTTGAATTTTACAATATTTACATGTTCTACTTTGACTATATTTTAACGTATTATTTCATAAAAATTATTTTTTAAAAAAAATTATTGTTCAATTCATCTCATTACAAATTTTCAAAATCTGATTTTTAATTAATTTTTTCTAATACAGATTAAGATATAATTACGATCAAAGACGTGCGTTGGCAAGTGTGAAATGTTAATTGACCGTTGCAACTAAAAATGAATGGAGGAAGTATATTCACTCCAATTTGTTTTGAATTCGGGATCTTAAAAATAAAGAAAATAAAGTGTCAGTATAGGATAAGTGATTTCGCGTCGGAAGATTTTGTTTTTATGTATTTATCAATCTAATCATTTTTTAATGTTGTTTTCTTCGTAAAAGTATATTAATTTAATAAAATTAAACAACATTTAAATTATTTAGAATAAAACTGAGAATTTAAATCTTAGATTTATAACTTTCTGTCATTCCAACTACGTAGTATGTAATAACGTAACAAAGTATTTATAAAAGAAATTATCTTTAGAACTAAACGTGTTCCTATATTCTAAAATAAGACTTTCATATTTTTATTTCTGAAATAAGACTAATTATCGTGATTTTAATTTAAAGGGAGGAGACATAATGACGGAAGACAAGGAGCTGAAGAAATCCGTATGGCCGAGCAGGAAAGGAAAGATAGAGCGACGGAGACGGCGCAGGAGGCGTGGCAGGCCATAGAGGAGGTTGCGGCGGAGATGAAACTGAGAGTGATTGCTAATATGGACTCCAATAAGGAGACTGATATTCGAGACGAAATGCTTATTATTCAAGATGAAGAAGATGAGGATACAATTATACAAAGACTGCCAAGCCGGAATCTGATAATCATCCATGAACTAAAATAAAAGAAAATGACCGGTGACCCTTGGATGACTTGGGCACATAAACTACACAAATTGGTATAAAAAATGCTCGGCGTACATAGTACTCATTTTGGTATACACATTTCGTAGAGGAAATGACCAAACAGAACATATTTCTATCAGGTGTTTCCAAATAGGATATATCCGATTTTTTTTACAAAAAAGCCAAAACGGAGTTGGGTACTCCGAAACTGAAAAGTGCCCAAAATCAGCTTTGTTATTTTCGGATTTCCCAACTCCGAAAACAGAGTGGTCAGCTTTCTCTATTTCGGATTTGGCAGCTCCGAATCCAAAGGATGAGATTTCCGCCAGCTACAGATCGGAGGATAGTTTAGTGTTTATAAATTGACCTTCCCTACCTCCATTCTCCCATACCTTCAACAGAGTCCTCCTTCAACCCTCCTTCAACCCTCCTCTCAACCTCTCTATTGAAAGGTTAGTGACTTATTCCTCCTCCTTATTCATTATTATTATTATTATTATTATTATTATTAGTATTATTATTATTATTTATAATTATTAACAATTTGTATTATTAATGTGTGTATATATTTATTTATGACTTGAAATATTACGGAGTAAATTTTACGTAGGTAATAAGTGTAGTAATCTTTTTTTATTATTATATTAGTAGTAATAATTGTAGAAAAAAGGTTTAATGTTTCTATAAAAGTAGGTGAATAGAAAAAATGACATACTACGTCTCGTGTCAGATAAAAAATACACTTTATCAGATAAAAATATTCCCGATAAGATAATATATCTCGGAATACGCCCTCATCCACTCCACACATAACCTCATTATTTCCAACCACCCCAATAATGTCTCTGGTCAGAGAAAAAATACACTTTATCAGATAAAAATATTCCCAGTCAGATAAAATATCTCGGAATACGCCCTCATCCACTACACACCTTACTTCATTGTTTCCAACCACCCCAATAATGCCTCCGGTCAGATAAAAAAATACATTTTGTCAGATAAAAATTTACCCGGTCAGATAAAATTTCTCGGAATACGCACTCATCCACTGCACACCTAACCTCATTATTTCCAACCACCCCAATAATGCCTCCGGTCAGATAAAAAAATACACTTTATCAGATAAAAATTTACCCGGTCAGATAAAATTTCTCGGAATACGCACTGAGTAATATACTAAATTGCACCAAATTAGGGGTACTAAAGTAGGTGAATAGAAAAAATGACATACTAGGTATTAGTTAATGGTCTAAGAAATTACTACAGAGTATTTGTTATGTAGTACTCTGAACTAGTTAATCCTTGCTTATCAAAATAAGTGTCTTACTTCCATTTTAGATGATTCATCTTAATATTTACGTAGTTATAAAATAATACTGGACACATCAAAATATAACGTTAGTTTTACTATTAAACCACGCAATATTATTGAACACATTTAATGAATGCCTTAAAAACATTAAAAAAAATTTAGTTTATGTTTGGTTGGTAATTGTAGGTTTATAATGGCCGAACGAGTTTCACACCCAGGGCCTCCGGATCGTTCGGTGTTATTTATGGTACCCGATGAGCATCGTGCCGATCGTGTGTGGCATGAATCATCGTTCCGTGACGTCAAACTGAGATGCCATCACTATTCGTCAGAAGCCTACATTGAGGAGGGTCCGCGTCATCCTGGTGTGGTACATTTGTTGAGAGTATCTGGGTTTCATGGTGTAGAAAGAATAGGACCATTGCAATTAGATTGGTCTCTTGTGACTGTCTTAGTGGAGAGGTGGAGACCTGAGGTACATGCATTTCATTTGCCCTTTGGTGAGGTCGGATTGACTTTGCAGGACGTACAGGTGTTGTTGGGGTTGCTTGTTGACGGCATACCACTCACTGGTCCTAGCATTACCGAGAAGGCAGCGTTATTGCAGATGTGTGCGGATTCTGTTGGGTTTATACCAATAGATGACGATTTAAGTTCATCCACCATAAAAGTAACGAATATCCACCGCATTCCATTAACTGCATGGAGCACTGAGAATGAGGTGACTCAACACACCAGAGCCCTCATTTGGAAGTTGGTAGGCGGTTCGTTATTTCCTACCACTAGTGGGAGCATGGCGAGCTGGTACATCTTGGAGTTGTTGCAGGGCAACTTAGCAGATGTGCGCCGATGGAGCTGGGGCTCAGCGGTCTTGGCCTATCTGTATCATACCATGTGTAAGGCGGCTAAGGCCAAGACTAAACAGATCGTAGGATGTTTAATCCTTTTACAAATTTGGGCATGGGAAAGGTTGCCGATGTTTCGGCCCCAAGGTCATCTCCCTTTGGAAAGTATATTAGATTTCCCATATGCTGCTAGGTATAATTTAAATAAAGTAATTGATCTTTTGACATTCATGTAATTTCCATATTTAAATTTGTGCTTTTAATTAGTTTCGAGTGATTGTTACTTTGGAAATTACACACTTTTGGTGTAAATAGTTTAGTTTGTAAAATATTTGTAATATGTTTAGATTAGGTTTATTCCGAGCTCAAACAGGTCCAAGTACACTTTGGAGACCATTGGTGAACATCACAAGTGCAAGGAAGGTGCAAGAATGCAAGGAAAAAATGGAAGATCTCGATTTTGGTCTGTACCCGGTCGGGTATGACCTATACCCGGTCGGGTACCCTTCTGAAATTTCGAATCAAATCAAATCCGGGAACAAGACATCATGCGGGAAGATTTTAACACGTTCGGGTGTCCATACCCGATCGGGTGACCGACAGACCCGATCGGGTATGACCCCATTTTCCAGCTTCGACGAAGCCACATCTTGTACCCGATCGAGTGGGCTGAAAACCCGATCGGGTACACGACCCTGCAGGCCTAAAAAGCCTATAAATACACCCCATTTCCTCCACAAGAAGACCACCAATTCCTACATACTTCTAAGCTCAGTCTAGACAAGTTCTTTCTTTATATTTTTATCATGTTTAGTCTCCAAATGAGGAGCCAAACTCTTCCATCTTGGTTTTGCTACTTTGAAGCTTAATGAATTTGTAAGTTGTGAGTTATTCTCTTTGATCTTCTTCCTTGAATATTAATTAATTCTCATTCCTATTACATACACCACATCTTGTACCCGATCGAGTGGGCTGAAAACCCGATCGGGTACTCGATCGGGTTGAATACCATGTAACGTGCAAATAAAAGGTTAAACTGAAGTCCTAAACATATTCATTACTATATTCATTGCTATGCTTCTTAGTTGATATGAAAAATTTATAATTTCTCTACGAGTTTAAAATGAATGAATTATTAAAATGTATAGATAAGTGAAATTGTAAATACGGTTGAAACTAGCCATTATTTATTGGTTGACGTAGGTTTATTTTTAATTTTTGTATTGAAATTTCTTTTGGAGTTTTGGTTAGTGGTGGACCGGGCCTGGTCCGGTTCCGGTTCGGGTCTAGGCCCGGCCGGGCCTGGAAGGTATTGGGTAAGGCCCGGGAGGCTACCGATTCCGGACCGGGTCGGTTCCGGTTTTTTTTCTTATTTATTTCAACCCCTACCCCCCATCCCCCCATCCCCCAAACCCCCCCAAAAAACCCAGCCCATCTAAACCCAGCCCAAAGCCCAAAAAAAGAGGCTCGAACTAGCCGGGCCGGTTCGCGTTTTTTGGTGTGCTGGAACCGCCCCCGTTACCCCCCCCCCCCCCCTCCCGGGCCGGTCCCGCACAGTAGCGGGCCGGGCCGGGCCCGCACAGTAGCGGGCCGGTCGGACCGGGCCGGGTCCATGACTAGTTTTGGTATCGTTCTAAATCTAATGTAGTATTCATTTAAGATAATGTCAACATTTTAATAAGGATGTGACTCATACCAGTATTACGGAGTATTTTTTAGAGAAAAAATCTTGTTGTACACAAAATTAGTATACAAATTGTACACTTTCTATTTATCCGTGTACATTACATAGGTAATTCGTAGAAAAAATAGCATAATTGTAAGCGAAAATGCTTATATATACAAGCAATGTACAATTTGTGTACAAATTTTGTGCACATCAAGAATTTACCTTTTTGAGAAATTAATACTATTACATCATAATTCATATCACAAAATCCTTGATAAATTATTATTCTTTTTTAATGAAAAAAACAAAAAAAATGTCCTATACCACTGTTTGAATCGGAAAGCCGCCTGTAGTGACGCCGTGACGGTATCCTTTCTCCTGATGATTCGAACTCTTAATTTTCGCCTTTCTTCTCTCCAGAGCGCGCAAGTAAGCCTCTCTCCCTGGATGTATGTAAAGATATACTATCTATTTGGTTGTATCGGACTAGATTTCTGCTTAACTTTGGCAGGGTTCATTGAAGGCTATCTGTCAAGGCTTCAACAGAAACCATGGAGATGGACGGTATTGTTACAGTCTGAATTTCATTAATTTCTTCTTTTCCGTGTCATTTTATCTCTACCATGTGTTCTGTGATGTGTGTCTTTAGTATTGTGATTAAGGGGTGTTTGGATCTGATTTTTAAAACTGCTTTTATTCTTGGAGAGAGCAGAAACAAAAGCTTTGGGTGAAAGTGCATAAGTTATTATGGGGCTCTAATTTACTCATAGAATCAGTTTTTTTAGAAGTTGGAGGAGACCGGCTTCTGAAAACTGATTCTGATTCTGCTTCTGATTTAAAAAAGTATAAGCAGAATCAGTTCCAAACACCCCTAAGTTGTTTGTTCTTGATCAGTTGATTGCATTTGGCATTTCTTTTGTCTACAATTTTAATTCTAAGTGTTTTGTAGTGAAAAATGATTCTATTTAAGCCATCTTGGTGGAAACAATTGTGTTTAGTAAAAAAAACTTGAAATTCCTACACAGGAGTGCCGTGATTTTTCCTGAAAGACTGACATACTGAAACCATGTTGTCATATTTTAGCATAACCAGACATATTTAAGGCGGTTTTAATGTCATAATTGGCCTTATTTACATGTAAGACATTCATTACTCCTATACAGAAAAACAACATAAGTCTCATATTTTGGAATATTTTTACCTATTTAGAACAAATTCTTGTTCAGAAATCACGTTGGTCAAGGCAGCATCTTAAAATTTAACCTTTGTTGTTAGCAATTTCTGTATTGTTTATGCTCTAAATTTCGTATTCGCCTACAGCTCAACTATTTCTCTAGATGGCATACTACAGGGTCATGTTGGAGTGACATCAAATAGAAATGTCTATAATGGTATTAGGACTTTTTGTACTACTGAAGGTGCGCCATTGCATTAATCAGCAAATCTTGATATACTTTATAAGTTTGATTTCCTTCATGGTTCATTGATGTCTAAAGCAGTAATCTAGTAATCATCGAGCTGCCTTCCCTAACATTACCTCTTTACAAGATGTCTGTAGTAATTGAAGTTAAGACCAACACCCAAAATTGCACTAATTTTTTTGTGCTCACTTTTTTATATCTACCTCTGTTGTCCGACACTAACACGATTTATCTGATTGTATTGATTGAGTCAGCGGCTAATTAAAAAAGTGATGCAGAACTTTTATAATTATTTCACTTGTTAACTTGTGTTTGTTTTTTTGTGCTTATTTTTTATCTTCTATCTCAAGTGGGTGGGTATAGAACGTAGCACCACAAACATCGTAAATCAATTGTTTTTTTGGCTGATATGTCAGACATGTCACTCAAGAAATGCATCCCATGCAACTCAAAGGACATGAAGCCTATGACTGAAGAAGTCGCGAATATCTTGATGAAGCCGGTTTGATTGCTGATTTTATTATTCTCCGCCGCTTACTTTGTACTATCTTGTAGAAAATATAATAACTACAAAATTGACAAACTTGAATAACAGGAGTTTTTGTTCTTTGGGGAAAAATGTGTATGAAGCAAAGAAAGAACTTATATTCCATTGTTTGGTTGGGGAGAATAAACTTACTAGGAATAAGTATTCCAGTTTTCGGTTTGATATGAATTGATAGTGAATAAGTGGTAATGTCAAATGTGGTATAAGGTAAAAATAATGTTTGCAAGTCTAATTAAGAAGAGTGTCAGTGAACCTTTTATTTGTACCTAACCCTTGGAGTATTTGAAAATGAACAAGGGTTTTTTATCTCTTCAACCAAACATGCCGTTAGCCTTAATGCAATAAATGTTGGCCCTTACCCGTTGGCCATTGCCATCCCCTCTTCTTAAGGTGTATACTCTCTACTCAATAACATAGATAGATATCATACATAAAGCCGGTTTGGTAGCCAGAAGTGGAGTTTTTGGCTTGTCAGCCGAATAAGTATAATAAGTGGTTTTGAATTACTTATTTGCATTATTGTATTCTACCAAACACTGTTCCTTCACAAGATTTCACAGGTTTAGCCATATTAGAATAACCAGTACCAAACACACTCATAATTTTAGTCAATTATATGCTTAGGCACCTCAATGGAGTTTGGTGAATGATGGTGGAGTAATGAAGCTGCACAGGTCCTGGAAAGTTAAAACGTTTGTGAGAGGAATGGAATTTTTAAATCTGGTTGCCAGTCTTGCAGAGATAGAAGGTTTCTCATAATCTCTAAGAGACTATCTCCCCATCAAAACTTACCTTCATATTCAACTTGTCTTTAAGCAAAGATATCCGCAATGATTATGTGATTATTTTGGTTTTCTTTTATGCAGGTCATCATCCAGATCTCCATCTTGTAGGATGGAACAATGTGCAAATCGATATATGGACACATGCTGTGGGTGAGGATTCACTTATTTCCTAGATCTCCATGCACTATATATGGTTCTAATCGCCTACACATCATTTTCTATTGACCACACTTCAGCATCATTTTTCAATCGCAGACATAGTTCATTCTCATTTTCATTTACCCCAGTGCCACAAAGGCTCCCACCGTAGGTGTAAGGGGGGGGTCGGATGTACGCAGTCTTACCCACGTATTAAAGCAAAGAGAGACTGTTTTCGGATGACCCATAGTTAGTCGTGGACTCGGGCCGGGCGGCCCGGCCCGGTTACTGTTTGGCCCGGCCCGGCCCGGCCCGGGGCCCGGTGGGTCCACCGGTTCGGTTCGGCCCGGCCCGGCTGCTGGGCGGTTCGGGCTCGGGCCCTGTTTTTGGTGAACCGGCCCGGCCGGCTCGGGCCCGGTTCGGGCCGGTTTTAAATTTTTATTTTTTTTTGAATTTTTTTAAGTTTTGGGTTGGATTAGGTATTTTGGGCCATTTGAGGTGATTTGGGGTTGAGGGAGAGGGGTTGGGGGTTAAATAGAAGAGCCAAAAAAAAAAAAATATAACCGGTTAGGCCCGGTCCGGCCCGGTTTGGCCCGGAACCGGAACCGCCCACCGGCGGTTCGGGCTCGGGCCCAACTTTCCTGGCCCGAGGCCCGGCCGGGCCCGGGCCCGAACCGGCCCGAGTCCACCACTACCCATAGTGAAAATCGCGTCCAAAATTGCATGGGCGGACTGCTGCTTCATAACAAAGAAGCACAAACAGTTTAGTGAGCCATTTTGCTTTATTCCATCATATTCTCAAGCCAAAAAAAATGTATCCTTGGCTCCATTGCAAATGATGGAATGAATCGCAGCCACCGTTAAAGGTAAAAATTGCATTGATTAAAAAAACATTCCATCAAATATGCACTCGAATAAAAACCTTTAATCCACATGATCCATCTAACCTTTGTCTGACCCTGAGTACACAATAGGAACCCAATCCTTTGCCCGTCTAGTGTTTTAGATATATTTTTAGAACAGCGGGATTTATGATATGGTCTTCATATATTTTTATGCAGGTGGACTTGCAGAAAATGATTTCATACTTGCTACGAAGATTGATAGGCTGGATGTGCAGAGTCTTTTGAGGATTCAAGTTCCTAAATAAGTTGCTGGTTCGAATCCATAGTTTTCTCCAACATTGGTGTTCCAGACCATCATTAGATCACTTGTTTGTTTTTAAGAATTATGAATTAAAAGGCAAGAATGGATTTGAAACTTCTAGGCTTCTAGCCTTAGGGCTCCAGCCCATAAAAACTTTCACTTTTGGCACCGGAATTAAGAAAGTGAAATTTATGATAGAAATGTATTCAGACAGCAACAATATCAAATTATCAACTACATAATTCTTTTTTCATATTTTCACTTTCTATATAAAAAAATAAAAAATGAGATAGCATAATATAATAGCATAGCTTAGCTCTGGACCTTCTGCCCTTCTGGTGAAGAACAGCTCACACCCCCTTCCCTCTCGTGAAAAACTTAAAATGAAGAAAGGAGATTGGATGCCTCTAACAGTCTAACACGCAGTACTTTTCCCCTCCATTCACTAATCTGAAACACCCTGTTTTTTTTTTTCAATCTGAAACACCCTTCTATCAGCTGCAACTGCGAAATTCACCTAAATTCAGTGCCAAATTAAGACAGTAGTGGTCTTCAAAATCGACAGGAAAAAGAAACTCCTTGATAGACTGAATGAACATTGAGAAGGAATGAGTTTTGTCATTGCAGTAGCCAGTGATAGTAGTAGCCCCTGCCAAACAACCAAAGAGAATTTTCAATATTCACCAAGTAACTTTACAGGTCCAATATTTATTGTAGACCTTGTTTGAGTAACAATGAGCTTATAGGAGCAATGAGTTGAAAGTATAAGTCCATAACATATATGCTCCATCAAGTGCTTATTAACTACTTCGTATTTAGCATCCAAACTCTTGACCTTATGCCAACCATACACTTAGTTTATATGTTGACCACCACGTTTAGCAGAACTTAACAGTTAAAGACTGGATTACAATACCAAATTCAATTCCAATTTTTTGAATGACACTGACTGTAATAAAAGCCAAAGGAGAATGTCCCAAAATAGGAGTACAAATGATGTACCAGCACTGGAGTCCAGCACTATGATGTACGCTTATCTTGAAAATGCACGTTGGTTTTACTCTATATAGGGTCAACTCTGAAAGTCAAAACATATCCTATAGTAGCAAGGACAATGTATTCTAGGGTAGTAAATATGAACCAGAAAACTGGGAAAATTCCTACATTTTCCCTCGGCAATTGAAGTAATGCATCAAATTTTATTATGATCAGTTGACTTAAATATACAATGGGATATCACTCCATCATTATTAAATTGAGCAAAAAAAATCATATTGTTCATCCCACTTACTCATATTCTTCCCGTTTAATTCCAGATATGTGTTATTCTGGTACAATGAGAACTTCATGTTAACCTTTCCAAAATAATCCCTTTACTTTAAACACAAGTACCAGTACAAATATCACAAGAGTTTTCATCAAATCCTCTCTTCCCTATGTCACCAGCATATTGAAGTAATCACTTGTGTTATGTCTAAAATTCCCTTTTGTTCGGGATCTTGCCGGAGTATTCATCTTGTTCTTGTTACCCAACGTTGTGATTTTCTATAGTAAAATCTTCATTCCTTCATAAAATTGCGAGTTAGAATGAGTAGCTTTCAGGTGTTTTGGTAGCAACTGATTTTCAGAATTAGGGTTTGGGTAGAGAAAGATGCTTGCATTAACCACTTGTTTCGCTCTAACTTTACATCCATTTGTTTTCAATTCTGCTAAACTATAGCCCAATGCATCCATGGAAGTAGCAGGAATCTCTGTCAATAGCTCAGTTTGTACAGCTTTGTATGGATAAGGATGTGAGCAACAAATTTATCATCATGTCTGTGCGTTTCAGTTTTCCAGAAATTGTATTGGAGATTTCGGATGGAATGGGGGGAGGGGGGGGGGGGGGGAATTGATTATTATTATACTAATCTACCTCTATTTTTTATTTCTAGACTATAAATATGTATGTGATATGTAGGTCAATGCATTCCAAATGTAGAAATAATTTAAAAAAACACATCTCCCCTTCTCTCCCCTACGAGATAATGCCTACGGACTAGGTTGTTCTTTACACCTTGATTTTTGCTTCTGCTCAATGTTATTTTAATCTAACCAGAAATATTCACGACAAAAAAAGTAGATCATAAACATCCATATTCGACATTACCAAAATCAGACCCACCAATATCTTAAAATTCCAGATCAGATAGCATGTATTCAGGCAAGATCTACAAGTTCAGTTTGGATGCATCTACACTGCATGTCTGCATATCTTATGCCACAACAAAAAATCAAGATTTAGACACACTTAAATTTATGATCTTCCATAAGTTCTATAGATATACTTTCACTGCTCGGAATATTACTGTGTATACTCCTAAAAATTACTAATTGCTTGTATTATATATATACTATCGTGTATATATATATTGCTCATAATTATATGAACACCCATCTATGTATTTTATTGCCCTTCTATATTGCACCAGAGTCTATATTATTTAGTGCTCAATATGTAATTACTGCCCTTCATTGTGGTGTTTTTAATTTAGTTCGAATAGATTTTAATGCTAGAGAAAATAGTGCATGGAAAGAGAAGTTAATATTATAATTCCGCCAGATTAAATAATGTATGATCATTATGGATGACTCCACCCAAAAAAAAAAACGCATGATTCCTTATTTGAAGAAATAAAACAGAGGAAGACTTTTTTACAAAACTAACCGCTAAGGGTATTAACGATATTTACTCCTGATGTATTATGGCACCGTGTGCCTTTTACCTACAAATTAGTCATATAAAACATACGGGAGATTTCTAGTCATATTTTGAGAAGTTGTTTATCTTTTAGTCATATCTAGAAAATTTTCCCTTAAAATAATGGATCAAAGTTTATCATCTTTGGCTGGAAAAGTCAAAGTTGGCTAAATAAAAAAGGACGGAGGTAGTATAAGTTACCAGAGCCGCCGTAAATTTTAGTCTAACATTAAAATACTTTTAGTATAACTTTTAGACTTGCTAGTACATCCATACCAAATTTAAGCAAAAAATTCAATCGGGAAGGCAATCAAATGATTTTTGGAAGATAACTGCACCCTTTATATACATATAAAACGCAGTTATCTTCCAAAAATCGTTTGGCTGCCTTCCCGATTGAATTTTTTGCTGAAATTTGGTATGGATGTACGCGACTTGATGAATAACATGCTCAAAAAATTTCATCGAAAAATTTCACCGTAAAGGCCCTCAAAACATGGAGGTCGCACGGCGGTTCCGTTAAAACAATTTCAGTAATTCAATACATGTTTTGGGTATTCAAAATTGAAATCAAATGAGAAGGTCCTCTAGGAGCTTAACGTAAGAGGAGCAGCAGAGTTTTACTTTGCAGAATGATTAATGATTATACTTGTTTTCATAATGATTTTACTTGTTTTCATAATGATTTTTTACTAGTTTCTTAGTAGAATTTGATTACTTGTTTAGTTTAACTTTGCTTACAGAATAATTTGATTAATAATGACTTGATATTTTTAAATAAAATTATTTGTGTAGTAGTATGTTATCTGTTACTCCGTAATCGCAAAATATGATGTATATATTTATGGAGATTGATATTTTATGATGAGTAAGGTTGACAGATTGGTTAAGATGAATAAAAAAGTCGACCTGCTCCGAAACTGTTTGGTTCTCTATGATGTTGTTTCCTTTTTGCCACTACTGGTCTTAGTCTTCTCTTTCTCCATCTCCTTTTCATTGCCCTTGCATGCTTTTTTCTTCTTGGACTTCAATTGATTAGGCTGCAGGGACAACTCTTTCTTTTTCTTTTTCTTCTTACGAGTCTCTGTAAGAGCCTTCTAATGTGGTCTCGGCTGCGAGTCTCCTAGTGTGGTCGCCGGCTGCTCTTTTATTGGATCTCCAAACACTAGTTCATTTGCTGTCATCATCCAAAAGCCCTTCACACCAGACCCCACCCTCTATCCGACCCTTTATATCAAAATAACGTTTTGGCAAGAAATTGACACTATATACTTAAAAATATCTCCTGATTTTGTTTGTTAAAATTGAGTTGTCGGTTTGTTCTAGCTAGCCGGAAGAAGCTAAAACATAAGCGGATATTATTTTTGATTAATATTAAATCTGGTCTCTCTTAAATAAGAGGCCTACTCTGCTTTTTAAAGGAAAACTAGGCTTACCATTTGTTTTTAAAAAAGTTCGGCCGCAATTTTCCAGGCTTCTTATTGCAAAATTAAGTTTGTGTTTATAGTTTTGGAAGTGCATAAAGTAAAACCCCACCACAGGTTATCATTGTAGCCCCTCCACCAGTATATTGATACACACTAGTAATTCATTGAATGAGTTCACCATAGAGTGTACATCTCTTTTCATTTTCCTTGAATTACTATTATCTCTTTCGTACACTAAACATTATTTTTAGTCATGTGATTAAATAGATGACTTTAATTTCACACTTTAAATTTAACTTCTTCAATGTGTGTGTGTAAGTATATATGGTCTACTCACTGCATAGAATAGAATAAGTACTTAAAACTAAATTTAATTATTTAGTCATGTTATTAAGTAGATGACTTTGAGACTTTAAATATAGTTTCTTCAGTATTAGTTGCTTCTACACTATTTTCTGTATATGTATTGCAGGTTCGAGAAACAAACGAATCAGAGCTCCCTTCACTCCAAAGTTCAACATGTATGTTTTACTAGTTTCACATTTTAAATTCAATACATATATAAATTGTCAACATCTAACATAACCAAAATGTTTCTCTAAACACGTGTTTGTATATGTTTTTGTTTCCATGTTTTTGATATCAATAGTAGTATACTCATAATATGAACCGTGAATGGGTGAAGTCTTCAAATCGGATCGCTCCGGCATATATAGCTGGCATCAAAGAATTCATAAATGTTGCTAAACAGATTTTAGATCGTAATGGATTGACAACGTGTCCTTGCCGTAGTTGCCTTAATTCAAGGAGTTATTCTATTAATGTAATCAGATCTCATTTGATATCTAAAGGAATTGATACGTCATATGTACGGTGGGTGTATCACGGTGAAGAAGAGTCTGATGATGAAGGTGTGGGTAATGGAGAATTTGAAAATGATGAATTTGATGGGTTGAGAGCGGGACTACATGATGCATTTGGTAATCAATATTTTAATATTGGGGATACCACTGAATTTCTTACAAATCAGCAACCCACTGCAGAAAATTCTCATTATGAGAAATTATATGAAGCTCTGGATACCCCATTATTTGTAGGATGTGATACATCTTCTGCATTGACATTCATGGTAAAATTGATGAATATAAAGGTAATGAATAAGTGGAGTGATAGTTCCTTTGAAATGTTGCTGAAGCTACTACATGAAGTGCTACAACAAAGCAATAATTGTCCACAAAGCTATTATGAAACTAGGAAGCTACTTTGTGACGTTGGTTTAGGTTACGAACTTATTGATGTTTGCAAATATGATTGTGTGTTGTTCTATGGTGATCATAAGAATGATGTCACATGTCCTATATGTAAATGTGATCGATATGTTCGTAATAAGATTCCACATAAGAGGCTACGGTACTTCCCAGTGGGACCTCGAATTAAAAGTCTGTATGCTTCACGTCACACAGCAAGAGACATGCGCTAGCATAAAGAAGCACGTAAGGAAGAGCCAGGGGTTCTGCATCATCCAGCTGATGGGAAGGCTTGGAAGCACTTTGATGAGTTATATCCAGACTTTGTTGCAGACTCGAGACATGTTAGAATGTGGTTGGCCTCCGATGGGTTTAACCCATTTAGTAATATGTCAACAACACATAGTTTGTGGCCGGTAATTTTGATGCCTTATAATATGCCGCCTTGGAGTATGATGCATAAAAGTAACTATCTTTTAGCATTATTAATTCCTGGCCCGAAGTCGCCTGGTAAGGATTTTGATGTGTTTCTTAGGCCTCTTGTAGATGAACTTAAAATTTTATGGAGAGATGGGATTGAGGCATATGATGAGTATTCTAAATCATATTTTAATCTTCGGGCAGCAGTTCTATGGACTGTAAGTGACTTCCCTGCTTATGCTAACTTGTCTGGATGGAGCACTATGGGAAGAATGGCATGTCCTGTATGCCTCGAGGACACCAGGTGGAAACGAATTCGAGGAAAACAATGCTATACAGGGCATCGATGTTTTTTAAGTGATACACATAGCTGGAGAAAGAATAAGGGATTTGATGGCAAGCCAGAGAGAAGAGGAGCGCCTCGAGAATTTTCTGGGGATGATATTTTACTACAGCTAAAAGAGGTTCATAATGCAACACCAGGAAAAGCACCGAACAATAAAGATAAGAAACGCATGTTGAAATGATCGTGTTTGAGAGCTTTCAGGCACTGTTGAAATGATGAAAAAATTGTTAATTGAGAAGAAAATTATGCCTCCCACGTCACATATTCCTTCAGATCAGATCATTCTTCAGGTGCGCTTAATCGTGGGTCATCTTCAATTGGTCGAGGCCAGCATGTTGACGGCTATGAGGACTCGACTTCTGAATATGATGATATTGTGTAGAAGCAAAATTCATATTAGACCTAATACTTTGTAGTACGTGTGGTACTAGCTAGTTAATGTTTTATTTTGGTTGACGGTATTTGAATAGCTAATACTTCGTTGAAATTGAATATTTTAGTTTGAATTATGATATTTATAGTTATTATTTATTATTCATTTCAATGTTCATTATTATTAAATGTAATTGTTTGATATTATATTTAATAAATAAATATAATATTTAAAGAAATGGTTCTATCAATACATAAATATTAATAGCTACACTTGCGTATGAGTTTTTCCCACAAATAAATATACTTTTGTCTACAAACAAGTCGGATTACCCACTTTACCCACACATACACATAAGCTTTACCCACACATCTTTATGTCCACGTGGCAGCGGCCAAGAGTCATCAAATTTGCCATGTCATCATACACGTCATACCCAATTTTCCACGTCACCAGCCACGTCAGCAGCCACGTGTACTTCCACGTCATATGCCATGTCACATGTTCTATGCTGGAATGACCAATAACAACACATTTCGAAGTGTTTTAGCTACACATACATGTGTAGCTATAAATAATAATATTACCCACACATAATTGTAAGTGTAGCTAATAACATTTTCCTACAGTTTCATACCCACACTTTGTAACACTTATAATATGTGTGGGTAAAAATTAATAGCCACACATACCCATTGTTTTACCAACACATACGAGTGTCGGTAAATCTCCTATTTTCTTGTAGTGTTTCTTTCAGGAGTGTAACCTCTGCCCCCTCTGCCACGACCTCTACCTCTATTGCCTCCTCTCCCACGACTAGGGGTGTTAACGAGCCGAGCCGAGCCCGAACACCCAAAGCTCGAATTCGGCTCGTTAAGGAATTAGGGGTGTTCGTGTTCGAGCTCGAAGCTCGGCGAGCTTTACAAATGAGGCTCGTGTTCGGCTCGATAGACGTTCGATGTTCGAACCGAGCGCTCGATAAGCTCGATAAATATGCCTGGATTTAAAATTTTAGGCGATGCTCGTTAATAGGCTCGTGCTTGAATGATTCGACAAGTATTCGGTTCGTTAATAATCATATTTAAATTCATAAATTCATACTAATTATATTTAAATTTTGAAATATATATAAATTATATTTAAAATTTTAGGGTGTTCGATAGGCTCGAGTTCGAACCGAGCCGAGTACTACTATGTTCGAGCTCGGTTCGATTAACTTTTCGAACTTAAAACTCAGCTCGGGTTCGAGTTTGAAAGCTAGTTAAGCTCGGCTCGTTAGGTTCGAAACCGAGCTCGAGCTCGAATAGTTCGATAAAAGCTCGGTTCGTTAACAGCCCTACCCACGACCTCTTCCTCTTCCTCTTGATGATTGCTGAGTCCTATCATGGTGAGAAGTGTCAGCTTTAGCTTGAAAAGCTGTCTCATCCCTTTCTTCCTCTTTATCTTCCCTTTCTTCATAGGCCTGCAAAGAACCTTTGAGTTCATCAAAGGTGTATACCTCCATGTCCATAGACTCCTCAATAGCTGCCACAAGATGAGAGTACTTCCTTGAAAGACTCCTCAGCACCTTACTTATCACTTGTTTAGATTTAACCTCCTCTCCATAGGATCTCATCTTCTGCACAATTGATGTGATCCTAGAGAGGTAATCATTGACAGTTTCTTTGTCCTTCATCTTGGCATTCTCAAACTCCCTTCTTAGGGATTGTAGCCCGACCTCAATGACTTTCTTGTCACCCTTGTATTCCTTTTGACGAATACTCCAAGCTTCCTTGGATGTTAAGGCTGCAGCAATCCGGGGAAAGACCTCATCATCCAAGGCTTGTTGGATGAAATAGAGAGCCTGTGCATCTTTCTTTCTTCTATCTCTCAAGGCTTGATCTGGTTCCTCTGGTTGTCCATCTTCAAACCCTTCCTCAACAATGCTCCATAGCTGTTGAGACTTGAAGAGAGTCTTCATCTTCAAACTCCAAAAGTGGTAATTTGAACCCTTGAACATAGGTAATTGGGAGATTGAATTCCCATTGTTACCACCCGCAGTCTGCATTGTTTTCACTCCTTTTTTTTGTTCCTCACAATTTAGGCCCTCGGATAGCTCTCTAGCTCTGATACCAAATGTTGTTCAAAGCCTATGAAATATTAAATTTTGGAGAGGAAAAGAGGCTCTCAAACTCATATCTTTTATTGATAATCAATAGGCTTTATATAGCCTTTACACAAACTGAAATGAACCAAGCATGTATAACAACTTGTTCCTAGAATTATGCTAAACCAAGTATTTGAATACGTGAATAATGAAGACCAAATCAAAAGCCTAAACTTTAGCTAACTACTTAGACTAATTCAAAGCAATATTAATAACAATAAAGAATAAACTAAAAGCCAACATTCCACGTATGCATGGCCTCAAATCCTCTTACCTGCAAGCTTGATCACTTGCTCAACAATGATCGATCGCCCGAGCAAACGTAATTACGCAGAAGTGAAGGTGAAGAAGGAATTATTGCGTAAACAGAAATGAAGAGACATAAAAAGGAAACGGATTAATACGGATTATATAGGAAGCAAAGTGCGTCGTCTTCATATCCGCACGTAGGGCTGCTCAAAACTGTTTGGTTCAACCGTTCAACCCAACTGAATTCCTACATGTGGTACTTTGTTGAGTAGATTTAGTTGTACTTTGACTTCATTTAAGTATACTCCTGGGCAAAATTGGCTCACATCAATGGTTTTAAATAAAAAAAGAAAATAAATTGAACCGAATAATTTAAATGTTTGAGGCAAGACGAAACAATGGTTGTACCAAAGTCGAAAGGAGATGTTGTCAAAAAAGGTTTGAGAGTTGATTGTAAGTTTGAGAGTTTCCATTTTAACCACTCCACTTGTTATCCTAACATGTTCCCTTGATTATAAATTTTGCTCTTGAAAAATATTTGTCCCTTTTAAGTTAGTCATTTTTTACTTTTCAAATTAATGATACTAAAGTAGTTTCTTCCTCAAAAAACAAATTAATGATACTAAACTTTGACAAAAAAGTATTTATAATTAATATCAAATAATGGTGCGTGATTTTTTTTTGCTGAAAATATTATTATGAAAATATAAAACTTATAAGTTTTAGATAACAATATATATGAGTTAAAAAGCTTGAGTAATTTAATGTTTTTAATTGAAATGCTATACTAAGCGTAAAGCACTAAATCTATAGGTTATCTGGTCGATCCCGATGATTCTTTCATTTCTTCCCATCTTCGCAACTCTGGAATCGAAAGGTACGTAATAGAACAGTTGCATCCATCTGACTCAAATATTAAGCACTGAAACCGACCTTTTTCGTGACATTCTAATCATTTTCATATTACAAAAGCTAATACAGTTTTTTTTTTCAACACATAATGCGTGGATTCCAGATATTAGCCGATCAAAAGTCACTAAAATTAAACTAGAAATGTTACGGAATATTGTGTATTTGTTGTATTATTCTTATTCTTAGTAAACTTGTATAGCCCGGAGCCCGGTTTGTATATTTTTCTAGGGCTCAAGTTTAGGCCCGATAGCATAGTTTGTGTATTTATACTCTTGGGCACATAATAGAAGATTGAGGCCTTTAGTTCCTAAACTTATTCTCATGGTATCAGAGCCACATACGCTCGGCAAACCTTAATCTCGTTCCTGGCTTATTCGACGGGTGCGGCACCAGCGTTGTACGCAACTGGCGGCGATGGCCGGGGAAGATAAGATCGATGTTACCTCTCCTTATTACCTTGGTGCTGGAGACCAACCTGGAAATCTCATTACCCACGTGATTCTCACTGGTGACAACTACGTGGCATGGGCTAGAGCGATCACGCTTTCGTTGAAAGCAAGAAGAAAATTTGTGTTTGTTGACGGCACGATCAACAAACCGACTGAGGCGCGAAAACTACTAAACTGGGAGACGGTGAATTCTATGCTTGTATCCTGGATTATGCGCAGCATCGACGGGAAGATTGCGGCCTCGATACCGTATCACGTTGAGGCTAAGCCTCTTTGGGACTATCTGGAACGGCGTTACTGCGTGGCCAATGGACCGCGAATTCAGCAGCTCCGGGGTGATATTGTTGGATGCAGACAGCATAAGGGAATGAGTGTGGATGAATATTTTAACCACCTCATGTCTCTTTACGATGAATTGGCCCGCTTGAAGCCGCTGCATTCATGCAAATGTGGTGCATGTAAGTGTGAAGTGGCTGAGAAGTTTGCAGCGGACCGAGAGGAAGAAAAGCTTCACCAATTTTTGATTGGTATAGATGATGAATATTATGGTGTTACACGCTCTAATTTGCTCTCGCAGGAGGTGCCGGTGACCCTTGATCGAGCTTACCAGGTTTTACTCCAAGAAGAAAAATCCAAAGATATTGCCAGAGGAAAAGTTCTGCAAGAGGGGTCTCATGCGTTTGCTTTACGCGCTGAACAACCAAAGCACAGGGAAGAACGGGCTGACAAGGAAAAGCTGCATTGTAGTCACTGCAAGAAAAAGGGACATGAGGTGAGTGCTTGTTTCAAATTGCATGGGTATCCGGAGTGGTGGATTGAGCGGAACAAGAACGCAAAGGGTACATCTACTACCCGAAACAGCCAGGGAGTCTCGCAAAGCAAGAAACAAGCACAGGCGCATGCACTCGTGGATGAGGGACTGCAGGGTGAAGCCGAGAGCCTTATGGGACAGCTTAAACCCGAACATGTCCAAGCTCTCCTTAATCTCATTAATTCTGATGCTAAAATTAATAATACAGATCGTATGAGCGGTAAGGCCAGTTCTTTTCCCTGGATTCTAGATAGCGGGGCAACGCACCATGTCACCGGTAATGACAGTTTACTTTCTCATTGCACACCCATTGATCAATGGTGGGTAGGGCTGCCGAATGGGCAGCGGGTTGCAGCAAGTATGGTTGGAGACGTGCGGCTGTCAGAACATTTTGTTTTGACAAATGTTTTATATGTACCCAATTTACAATGCAATTTGATTTCGATTGCCCAACTGATAGACGATTCCAAGTGTGTTGTTAGATTTACTGATAATCTGTGTGCTATACAGGACCAACTCTCGGGGAACCTGATTGGAGCCGGTGAGAGACGGGACGGACTTTACTACTACCGTGGCATTCCTCGCATCCAGCTGATTACTTCGTCTGAGGTTGGAAACTTTGATTTGTGGCATCGTCGTCTTGGACACCCGTCGGACCGTGTGCTCAAGTTAGTTCCTGTTGTTTCTGCTAGTTCGGGAAATAAATCCTTAAATAAGCCGTGTGTGGCATGCCCTATGGCAAAGAAAAAACGAGATAGTTTTCCTGTTAGTGAAAATAAGACTACTCATATTTTTGAGCTTTTGCATTGTGATTTGTGGGGCCCTAATCGCACTCCGTCCTCTTGTGATGCTATTTATTTTTTAACAATTGTGGATGATTTTTCCCGTGGCGTCTGGGTGTATCTTCTGCGTTCTAAAAATGAAGTTCAGAAAGTCTTTAGTTCGTTTTTGGCTATGGTGGAACGCCAATTTGGCACTAAGGTTAAAATAATACGCTCAGACAATGGAACAGAATTCACATGTATGAGGGAATATTTTTCTTCTCTTGGCATTTTATTTCAAACCTCGTGTGTGGGTACACCTCAACAGAATGGACGCGTGGAACGCAAGCATCAACATATTCTTAATGTTGCACGCGTCCTCATGCATCAAGCTAATTTGCCTCTACGGTTTTGGGGTGAATGCATTTTAGGGGCTGTTTATTTAATTAATCGTACGCCCTCCGGTCTTCTTGATAATAAATGTCCGCTGGAATTGTTGCGTGGCACGCCGCCCACCTATGATGAACTACGGGTTTTTGGGTGTTTGTGTTTTGCATACAACCAAAGGGCTAAAGGAAATAAATTTGCTGCTCGGGGAAGACGTTGTGTATTCCTTGGCTATCCAAATGGCCAAAAGGGGTGGAAATTGTTTGACTTGGATGCCCAGGAATTCTTTGTTTCTCGGGACGTGACTTTCCACGAGAATGTGTTTCCATTTGCGGCTTTACCATCAGATGATGTTTCGCCTCCTGCTACCCCTGCATTCTTGGGCTTCGATGAGGATATTCATTCTAATTTGGATGACAATGATGATACTGCATCTGTGCATGACAATGCCGATACCGCAGGTGTGCATGCCAATGCTGGGAACGGGGATTCCCATACTCCAGGAGGCTCCATGGTTACAGAGTCCTTTGACTCGCCGGACGTACCGGCCGGACCGCAGCTGGGCAGAGGTCAGCGCACCAGGAAGCCCTCCGTGCTCCTTCGTGATTATATCACACATGCCACGAGTAGTAAAAGTCCCGTTCTGGATCCATCGCCTCCTTCCCCAGGTAGTTCCTATCCTTTAGCACACTTTATTCAGTTTAATAAATTCTCTGCATGCCATCGTACTTTTATAGCTGCAGTACAGGCTGGTCATGAACCGAGTTCTTTCTCGGAGGCCATGCAAGACGAAGGGTGGCGTGAGGCTATGGCAAAGGAAATACGTGCTCTGGAAGACAATGGGATGTGGACTATGGCCGATTTACCTCCACACAAGAAGGCTTTGGGTTGCAAATGGGTGTACAAGATTAAGTATAACTCCGATGGTAGTGTGGAACGCTTAAAGGCTCGTCTGGTTATCTTGGGGAATCATCAAGTTGCTGGCTTGGATTATAACGAAACGTTTGCCCCTGTGGCTAAAATGGTTACCGTTCGGACTTTCCTTGCAGTAGCGGCAGCCAAAACCTGGGAACTTCATCAGATGGACGTTCATAATGCATTTCTTCATGGTGATCTAGATGAAGAAGTATACATGAAGCTTCCACCTGGATTTTCTGCTGGGTCTCCTGGTCGTGTATGTCGACTACGGAAATCATTATACGGTTTACGACAGGCACCCAGATGTTGGTTTGCCAAGCTTGCTACTTCGTTGAAAAATTATGGCTTTCGCCAATCCTATGCCGATTATTCCTTATTCACATTTCATCAGGGTGATACTCGACTCAGCATTCTTGTATATGTTGATGACTTGATTATTTCTGGTAATGATTCTTCTGCAATTACATCTTTTAAAGCATATTTGAGCTCCTGCTTCCATATGAAGGATCTGGGTCCACTCAAATATTTTTTGG